GACACCTCCCCTGGGCTTTAGGGACCTCCCCCGGGCTGGGGACATCTCCCCCAGGCTGGGGACACCTGCCCTAGGCTGAGGACCACTCCTCTGGGCTTTGGGCACCTCCCCATGGCTTTTCTAGACCCCCTTGGAATCCTTTTCGATCTAGGGGACGATTTTAATGAACTCCTCATGCCACTTTTGGTTAATGATGTGCTCGAGTCAGGCTCTGGAGCTATAATCACAGAAAGATGGACAGTCCAAAATCAGGTCCTTGGCTGATCCTCCCAATCTGGAACCCTGGGACACAGGCAGAGACTGGGATCTTGTTCCCCTGCAAAGAGCCTGTCTAACTTTAGACAAGTGATTTCTCTGGTTTGTCCCTTTTTTGGAGGTCCTGGTGCCCCTCTGGTATGAAGGGATGGTCCCAGAGATGGATCCACCTGAGCAGCCAAAACAACAGCAAATATCCCTGAAATTCCTAAAACTGCTGCTCAGGTTACTTGCCTAGAGATGATTCTGCAAATCTGTGTTGCTCCACATTGCCAACGTTGGACTTTTTCTCTTGTTGGCAGAATTTTTACAAGGAGAAGAAGCGAGAGGACATTTACATCAGGTAGGCCATGTCCTTGAGCCTGGACGAGCCTTTGGAGCTGCCTTGGACACAGGAGGAATTCACACCGAGGAATTGCTTTTGCTCTGCTCAGGTATCTGTACAAGCTCAGGGACCTGCACACAGACTGTGAGAACTTCACAGAGGCTGCCTACACCCTGCTCCTGCACGCCGAGCTGCTCCAGGTACCCCCGGGTTTGGGATTTCATGAGGCACAAACACCTCAGAATAACCAAAACCCTCATTTTTCTGCTTTTAATGGGACTTTGAATCATGTAGGTAGCAGTGGTCATTAAGGGGCTTGACAGTCTTGGGGATTCCACAGCAAAATAATTATAACTATGATATATATAATTATATATACATAAAATGATATAGTTATATATACATGACAAGCACATTTGTCTCCCTCTCAAGATTTTTCATAGAGGTGCGCAGAGAGAAATGAAAGAGAAAACAATTTCTATTTCTGCTCCTTGTTTTTCCTATGTAGAATGTGTTTAGAGAATTGTTTACCTAAAATAAGTGCTTGATTGGATTCTGGTGAGGATTGTTTGAGCCTGGTGGCCAATCCAACCCACCTGGGGCTGGACTCAGAGAGGGGCACAAGTTGGGTTAGGGTTAGAGATAGGGTTAGAGATAGGGTCAGAGAAAGTAGTATGTACTTTTAATATCCTCCTTTTATATAGCATAATAATGTATTTTAGCATAGTTATAATAAAGAAATAATTCAGCCTTCTAAATCAAGTCAAACATCTTCATTTCTTCCCACTGAGTTCACCTACATTAACAATATATATATAATGATATGAGATACAAATAATCACATATGATATGTCTATATAATTGCATGTTATACATAAAATAAGTGATATAATCAGATAATAACGTTAAAAGAAGAATCATTATTAGCATCCTCCTGCTGCAGTGAGCTGGGAGAGAACGTCTCAGGTTTATATCCCTGCCAAACTTCCTTTGCCTCGATGAGGGATTTGCTTTGAGTCGCCCTGTGAGGATTTATCTGGAAGTGTGGCAGTTGTTCCAGCTTTGCCTTTTTCCCTGTGCCAGTGGTCAGAGAAGCCCTGCGTGCCTCACCTGCTGCAGAGGGATTCCTACTGCGTGTACTCCCAGCAGGAGCTCAAGGAGAAGCTCTACCAGGAGATCATCTCCTTCTTCGACAGAGGCAAGGTGAGATCCTCACCCCGTTCCTGCAGCAAGCCCTGCCTTGGTAAATCCACTTTGCTGTGGATTTAGGATTTCCTTACTGGGGAATTCTCGGTGGTTGGGGCAGGCTGGGGTTGGTTACAAGGGGAAAAGCAGATGTGGTTCCACACCTGGCTGGGATTTGGACAGGGATCCCAATGCTGCCATCAGGATTTAAATACCACCAAACACAAAGGCACGTGTTTGTCTGGAGATCTTTAAATCCTATTTCTGTGTTGACCAAAGAGTGTCTGGAAGGTGAAGCTGTTCTGGGTAGATGGGAACAGGGCAGGAGTTTTCCTTCCTTCCTGGCTTCCCCTGGGAGTGGCTCCTGGCAGGTTTCTGGGCTTCCCTGGCTGGCACTGACCTTGGGGAGAGGCTTCTGCCAGGGCTGAATGGCCCTGAGCTGAAATAAGGGAAATTTAGGTGGGATCTTGGGAAGGAATGTCAGGGTTTGGGATGGAATTCCCAGAGGAGCAGTGGCTGCCCCTGGATCCCTGGGAGTGTCCAGGCTGGAGCAGCCTGGGACAGTGGGAGGTGGCCTCCCCATGGCAGGGGTGGCACTGGGCTTTGAGGTCCCTTTCCACCCAAATTCCATGATTCCATGATGAGACAAACCCAAGGAGCCCCTGTCCCAGTGCTGCTGGAGCAGGAGACCACCTGGGCTTCTCTCTCTGCTGTTCAGGCCTGTCCTTCCTCCTCCCAGTGCCTCAGTTTCTCGTGTCCGGATCTCAGTGGAGACCTGGCTTTGTAAATCACTCTCAGATCTCCAAATCACAAGATCTGTATGACTGTAATAATCCCTGCAAAAAAAAAACCAAAATGCACAGCAGAGTCTGAGGGAAACCTGGCAGAGCATGAAAGTAATGCCTGAATTAAAATCAGCTGCATTTTGTTTACCTATCTGTGCTAATGAAGGCTTTTAACTGAGTCTTTCATGTTGCTTGTGCTGTTCTTCCCCCTCCTGCCTGTCCTCACCCTCTGGAGATGTGGGAAAAAGCCATTCAGCTGAGCAAGGAGCTGGCTGACATGTATGAAAACAAGGTCTTTGACTACGAGGGACTTGGTAATCTCCTGGTAAGGCTTTCTTCCTCCATATCCAGCAGCCTGCTGACTGCTTCAGTTAATACTGTTCAAGCAGGATAAGCCTAAAATAAATGCATGTTAAAGACAAACAAACCAACTTAACCCCATGGTTTTGTAAAGGTTAGTAGTAGAATAAATATTTTCATAGTGTCTTTTCACCTCCTAATTAGCATGATAATACCATTTGCAGATGTTTAGAATTCTTGCTCTTAACCAAATGAAGTGACATCCAGGGTGTATTTTCAGGCTCCATAAATCACATCACCTTGTTATTTCTGTGGTAAAAGTGCTGGGCATGAGCACAGAGCTAGAGAATCCTCTTGGCTCTGAATTCTGCTTTTTAGTGGTTAAGGATGGAACCAGATGGTCTTTATGTTCTTTCACAGCAGAATCATCTGCCCAGTTTTATTTCTGCCAGTTCTCTGACATTTGTCACCATTTGTGTCTGTTCTCTTTCAGAATATATTTGTATTTAATTTGTTTTCCCACAGTGAAGGATTTCAAATATCCTTCTGGAATCCTAAAGCCATGGCATTGTTCTCATGCCTGCAGACCAGGAAATGAAGTTGGTTCTGGCCCAGACAAAGCAAATATTTAATCAAGTAAATGGATAAGGATGAGAGACTGCATCAAAGGGCAGTTGTGAAGTGTGTTCTGAGGGCAGAGCTCAGGAATTGTCCCTGGGAATGTGAGCTGGCAGTGTCCTGGACTATCCCAAAGTGAAAATGTTGTTTTCTTTTCCAGAAAAAAAGAGCTACATTCTATGAGAACATCATGAAGGCCATGAGACCTCAGCCCGAGTACTTTGCTGTTGGATACTATGGACAGGGTTTTCCCTCTTTCCTGAGGGTGAGGATCCTTCCCCACTCAACTTCTCCACTGCTGGAGACCCTAAAAGTCACAATTTTTGCAGAGCTTCCAAGAAAATTCGGTGCCAAACTCCTTTTCCTTTCAGTGGCACTGACAGATCTAAATCCCAGGAATGTCTAAAATGAATCAAATTAGAGATGAAATTTTGTGTGTTCCAGCTCGAGTGGAGTCTGGGTGTTACAATAGGTTTTTTAGATGAGTGTTAAATTCTTCTATGGATTTAAGCAGAATTTACATTCTGTGTTTGTGCTCCCTCTGAAATGTGATTGCTGCTGTTAGAAAATGTTTGGCCTGTGAAGAAATTATCCCATTGCTTTTCAGCCTCAATAAACCAAATTTTCAGGATGGGGATTATTCATATAAAATGATATATACATAAAATGATATATTTATATATATAATGATATAATGAGATATATTATGTGTGGGACAAACTCTCTCTCAGGTAGAGTTTGTCCCACACAGAAGAATTCAATTGTAAAGGTGCTTCTTATTTAAGACAGCTGCTGAGCACTGCTGGATCTGCGTGGAGGACGGGAATGACTCAGATCCAGGGTCAGCAAGGCTTAAAATACTCCTGTTATTTAAAATTCAGGGCCATTTTACCTGCTCAGCCTGGAGCTATTTGAAGTTCTGGTCTTCAGTGGAAGCCAAGCTTAAAAAAAAAGAGAAGAATATAAAGTTAGAGCTGTGTGAGGAGATGGCACAGAGGGCTTTCAGCTCCAGGCCAGGTTTTGGAATCCATCCCTTCCTGAAACCACTGCCAGGTGGAAAAATGGTTGGCCCTGGTCTGGTGGTGGCTGTGAGAACAGAACTGCCAGGACATCGTGGGTGGTGGTGGTCAGGAATGGGACCGAGGTGGAATTCCCACCTGTGCCCAGGGACATCCCTCAGGGAGCTCACACCAGGCCTGGCAGGCAGGTGCCTGTATTTAAGAATTTCCTGGCACGTTTATTCTGGTACTAAAATCCAGCTCCTGGCTGAGATTCCTGTGCTGAAGCTGGGGGTTTTGGGGGTGCTGGGAGGTGGGAGCAGCCCAGTGACTCTGGGCTGTGTCTGTGTGGATAAACCTGCGTGAGGGTGGCCCTGCTCATTGCAGGTGGCCTTTAAAATCTCCTTTCCAACCCTAGCTGATGATTCTTTTTGGAGCAATGGATTTTTTAGACAAATCTGAGGTTCCCCTGGCTCCCGGGAGGTGCTGTGCCCTCATTCCAACCTTGTTCATCCCTTCACCTTTTCTGTCCAGCTGGAATCCACCTTTCCCATAAACCGGGTTTGGAAAGCTCTGTCCCACTGCTTTGTTGTATTTTAATTCCCTTTTTCTTCTCCTGCCCACAGAATAAGGTTTTCATCTACCGTGGCAAAGAGTACGAGCGGAGGGAGGATTTTAACCTGAAGCTGCTGACGCAGTTCCCCAGTGCTGAGAAGATGACCAGCACAGCCCCTCCAGCAGAGGAGATCAAGGCTTCCCCCAGACAGTGTATCTTTTGGGTTTGGGGCAGCTTGGCACACCCCAGAGCTCCCTGTTCCCTGCCACAGCAGCAGCAGCAGGAGTGAGGGGTTCTTGCTCCAGGGGGATGTGGAGGCAGGCACTGGGCATGAAAACGGGGCTGCCCAGAGTCGTAAGGGGGGATTTAGAGGCTGTTTGAGGCTGTCAGAGTTCAACAAGTCGCTGTCAGGGTGAGAATCAGGCTGCAGGGAGGATCTCCTGTGTTCTCACTCAGGTGGTGCTGGCTGCTTGGGCCATGGTGGGACCCACTTGGCTGTTTCTGGGTGAAAGATGGGAAATGCAGGCTGTGAAAGTAGGATGAGAAGTGCAGGGTACTCTCTTCTTCCTTGCAGTCCTTCAGCATTTATGAAGTGCTGGGGTTTGTGTGTTTTTTCCCCTGAAAGTGCCTTTGCAAGAAGTGTGAAGTGATTATGTCACTAAAAGTTGTTAAGTGCAGAGCCCTTGCTATTTTTTAATTCTTATTTTTCCTCCATGCTGGTGGGACTCCAGGCTGTGTCCCAAGCTCCCCACCAAGCTTAAATCTCTGAATTGTGAGTGTGAGCCAGTGGAGATGCTCCAGGTTGCTGCCAGTGGCTTCAGTCAGGAAAACGAAGTTCTGGGTTTCCAGCCTGTGCTCCCCAGGCCAGGCTGAGCAATCTGAAGGTCCTTTTTGGCCCTCAAACCCTGTGCACAAAGGCCCAGCCCAGCCAGTGATAGCAGATGCTTCCTGCTCAATCCTCCTGCCAAGCACTGAATCCACAGAGGAAATTAAAATCCATTCAGGATCAAACTTGGTATCAAAAATGCCTCTTCTGTTGCTGCTTTGTTTCAGCTGCTTCCTTTGCATCTGTTTGTGTTTGTTCTGATCTTCCTGGCTCGGGATGAAGCTGAGCAGCAGAATTTGGATGCAGATCTGAACCCTCCCCAAGGTTTGGGGGTGTTGGGTTCCGGGACTCTGGCACAGCCCTGGGATGAAGGGAGCAGCTGCAGGGCTTGGATTTGGGACAGGTTCTCCTTGGACTCCCCCCAACCTCCTGAGATGAGGAGTGCCCAGACCTCTGTTGTGTCAGGCAGACCTTGCTGCTCCTGGGGTTGGTTTTACTTTCAGCCTCCTTTAACCTCCTTTGCCTCAGGCTCTTTTTTTATTTCTTTAGGCTGGGTTTTTTGCTCTTTTATGACAAAACACCTCGTTCTTCTTTTGGTAGTGATGTACTGGGGCTGCCAGGTGAGCTGTGCTGAGCCTCGGGGCTCCCTGCAGCCCAGAGCAGCCCAGGGGCACAGCTGGGCACGGGGAGATGTGCAGGACATCCCACTGAGGGCAGAGCCCCACACGCTGCCCTGCAGGACAGAGCTGGGCAGGGCAGCAGAACATGTGAGAGATCAACAGAATAAACAACCTGGAAACCAGCACAGACCAATGATGGCTTCTGCTTTGGCAGCGGGGGTGAAATACAGAGACTTTTACAATCTCAGAATCATCAATACCACAGATTCTGACAGACATCTCCTAATGGGGTCAGATTGGCTCAGCCTTGCTTTTCCAGACAGGTTTTTGTTCCTGTAAAGCCTCAGCACAGTCCTTAAAGCAGAATTTTGGAGGAACACGATAAGCTGTTGTGCTCGGGGATACAATTGCTAAGATCTTTTTCGTGTCTGTCATGATTCACAGGTGCAAAAGCCAAGTGTGAAGCAATTCCTTTGTTCAGTTGGCTTCATGAATGTAAAAATTGGGAGGGAAGGAGCAGCAGCCTGAGATAAATAACTGTGGGGTGAGAGAGAGAAATAACTGTGGGGTGGGAAAAGGAAGATGCATCACTGAACCTCCTGCAGAACCTTGCTGCTCTTTTTCTTGTCTCCCAAAGTAGGAATCAGTGGTGCCAAGGATTCCCAAGCATTTTCAGGGAATTTCAGCACCTGGAAGTGTCCAAGGCCAGGCTGGAGCACCCTAGGGTAGTGGAAGGTGAACTTGTCCATGGCAGGGGTTGGCCATGGCTGAATTTCGAGGTCCTTTCCAACCCAAACCATTCTGGGATTATTATTTGTAAAGTCCTTTTCTTTTTGGGTTTTTAATTCACAAGGAGCCTACAAACTGCAAGGTGCAACAGAATGCCTGTGATTTGTGATGAATTAGTCAGGTTTGAAGAAAAATACTTAACGAGAGCACAGGGATTTGTGGAAAAGTCTGACAGTGGAAACAGGAAGGGTTTTTCCTCTCCTTCTCCTGTTTTCCCAAAAGGGTTCCTAGTTTTTCATCCTTAACCAGAGCTGCTCAGATGTGCAGTGCTTCATTGTGAAGCCTGTGATGAACCTGCCACCTAATTACAAAGACAAACCTGTTCCTGAGCAGATCTTAAAGTAATTTCTTTTTCTTTTCCCTCAACGTTTTGTGTGTGTTTTCCCCACAAGGTGCTGTGCCTTTGTGTCTTGTGTAAATTGTGTCAATTCCTCCCCACCAACTGTGAGGAAACACTTGAACATTTGAGTGAGGAGGATGGGAGGTGAGGAAAATCACCTTTTTACTCTGCTTCTTCTCAGCTACTACAGAGCCAACGAGGTGCAGCAATTCACTCACTCCAGACCTGTCAGGAAAGGAGAAAAAGATCCAGACAACGAGTTTGCTGTGAGTCCTTTGCCTTTTGTCGGGTTTGTTGGTGGCATTTTGACCAAACTGTCACCTTTTCCCTCTGTTGGGACCACAGAAGTTGGGAAGGAAAAAGCAGGAGACACAAAGGGCATTGCGGTCTCCACCTGAAGCTGGGGGTGATGCTCAGCTCCTCACAGCTGGAGTTTGAACATTCAGCATCCATAAATGTGTGTGGGAGCCCAGCCTCACCAGAGCCCATCCCAGAGAATGGCTGTGGAGTTCTGCCAGCT